GCCCTCACAGCCCCCACTGACCGCCAGCTTGTCCTTGACCACGCTGGCCGTGGCGGCGATGGTGCAGGCGGTGTCGTGCTGCACCACCTGGGTGAACTCAGCCAGGTCCCTCTTCATGAATTCCAGAGCTTCTGTGGACTGCAAGGAGAAAAAAACATTGTCCAGGAGTGTCCAGGATTGTCCAGGATTGTCCAGGACTGTCCAGGATTGTCCAGGACTGTCCAGGATTGTCCAGGATTATCCAGGATTGTCCAGGATTGTCCAGGATCATCCAGGATTGTCCAGAATTGTCCAGGACTGTTCAGGATTGTCCAGGATTGTCCAGGATTATCCAGGATTGTCCAGGATTGTCCAGGATTGTCCAGGACTGTCCAGGATTGTCCAGAATCATCCAGGACTGTCCAAGATTGTCCAGGATTGTCCAAGATTTTCCAAGACTGTCCAGGACTGTTCAGGACTGTTCAGGACTGTCCAGGATTGTCCAGGATTGTCCAGGATTGTCCAGGACTGTCCAGGATCATCCAGGATCGTCCAGGACTGTCCAGGATTGGCCAGGATTGTCCAGGATCGTCCAGGATTGGCCAGGATTGTCCAGGATCGTCCAGGATTGTCCAGGATTGTCCAGGATCGTCCAGAACTGTCCAGGATTGTCCAGGATCATCCAGGATCATCCAGGATTGTCCAGCACTGTCCAGGATTGTCCAGGATTGTCCAGGATCATCCAGAACTGTCCAGGATCATCCAGGACTGTCCAGGATCGTCCAGGATTGTCCAGGATTGTCCAGGATTGTCCAGGATTGTCCAAAACTGTCCAGGATTGTCCAGGACTGTCCAGGATTGTCCAGGATCGTCCAGGATTGTCCAAGAGTGTCCAGAACTGTCCAGGACTGTCCAGGATTGTCCAGGATCACCCAGGATTTCCAGGATTGTCCAGGACTGTCCAGGATTGTCCAGGCTTCTGCTGCTCCAGCAAAGCCACGATGGCTCCCAGCACATCACAAAAACTCAAATGTGAGCCCTCACCCCAGCCTAGCGATGAGTAAAACCAGAATAACCTGAATGACAAGAGGTTTTGCTATGCCCAAAACACATCCCAGGAGGTTTTTAAGCCAAGAATAGAAAAATACACGTTGGGCAAAGCCTGGCTTTAGGTTTTGTGTGTAATTAACACTGTGCTGTGCCAGGAGGGAA